AGATAGATAAATGATAGATACATAGATGATAGATAGATAGATAGATAGATAGATAGATAGATAGATAGATAGATAGATAGACAAAAAGACAGATAGATAGATCAGCAGGCCTGCATGGGACTGACCTATGCACTCTGCATAGATGTGACAAGGTTTGTTTAATACTCGCTCTTTCACTTACATGGTATGTCTCTTTGGGTATTTCTGCTTTAAAAAAAAAAAGCACAAACTTATTTATTTATTTATTTATTTATCTAAAAAGATCCTGTCACAAGGGAGTGACTTCCTCCCTTCAGCTCAGATTTCTCTCCTTTAAATGTGCCTTTCCAGGCAGTTAGAAAAACCCAGACAGCTAATGCAGTAGAGGGCAGGGAAATTCCCAAGTACTTCCCAGACTAAGCAGTAAGAATATATGAGCCCATTACCCAGTGCTTCTAAACAAAAGCCAAGAACATCAGTTGGATTTAGACTGAATCAATAAATCCTGTCCCTCATCCACTCATGGCCATTCTACAGCTGGTCGATTAAAAAACAAACTATAAAACAAAAACCTACCCTGCCCTTCATCTTCTCTCCCTAGCCTAATTGTGCAGGAGAAAGACTGTAGAAGGAAGGGAGAGAAGACGCTTCCCTCCCACCCCCAGCTCTCCAGTCCTGCGACCTGGAGGAGTGGGGACATAGAGACCCAAGCTTTGGTTTGGTTTAGCTTTTAATGAATAGATCTTGGCCTAGAAACCAAAAGGGACTCCCTTTGTTTTTGCTTGCTTTCTACCATTGTGGCAAACACTTACTGAAATGAACTTGGGGAAGAAAGGAATTATTTTATCTTACAGCCTGCCTATCCCTCATGAAGTGAAGTCAGGACAGAGATTCATGGAAGGGAACCTAGGGACAGGAACTGATGCAGAGGCCACAGAGGGTGCTGTTTACTGGCCTGCTCCCCATAGCTTGCTCTGTCTGCTTTCTTTCACAACCCAGGACCACCTGCCCATGGGTGGCACAGCCGACAGTAAGTGGGGCCCTCCCACACGAACCATTAATCAAGAAAATGTCCCCATAGATTTGCCTACAGGTCCATCTGATGGAGAATATTCTCAATTGAGGGTCCCGCTTCCCAAATGACCCTGGCGTGTGTCAAGTTAACAAGAACACCAACTAGCACACCCTTTAATAGCCAATCTGTGCAAGCTAGAATCTGATCCTGATGTTACAGGACTTAAAAACAAACAACACGGAAGGAAAACCGATGGGGGGAGGAGGATAGGAGGACAGGAAGTGAATGACGAAGCCTTGTTTATGCTTTGTGGATTTAAATATTCCGTTAGAGACATTATATATAAACAGGCTGGAGATAATTTTCAGGACTCCATCAGGGACCTGACGTCATTCCCGTCTGTATACACAGTTTTAACAAGGCAGAGCTCTGGGAAGAGAGATGGATGTTGGCTTTCCCAACTAAACAAAAAGAAGAAGGCGGATGGTGACATCTGATAGTCTACAGAAAAGAAAAACATATCCAAAGAAGCTTCCAGACTCTTCATGGGGTGGGGGTGGGAGCCTACAGTAAAACAGTCACAGAGAACATGGGGTGAAGGAGCCAGAGGAAGGAAGCCAGTCTCCCTCTGAAGCTAGGGGTGGGGGGTTGCCGAAGTCTGACACAGACCACTGTTTGCAAAAGCAACTGAAACAGAAACCAAACACGCTGACACTTGCTTTCTTTCCATAACGGAAAAGCCAAGAGGCGTTATCTGATCTGGCTGCATAAGGCTGGGGTAAAAATACCGGGACAAAAATGAATGCCACTGGAGCCAAGGAAGGAAATAATGCTTCCTCTGACCTTGCCATTGCCTCAGACAGCCTGTTTCCTCAGCCTGGCGCTGAATGGAAAGGAGTAAAACGGGCTGGAGAGGTGGCTCGATGGTTAAGAGTGCTCACTGCATTTTCAAAGTTTGGTTGCCAACACCCAAATGACAGCTCACAACAACCTGTAGCTCCAGTCTCAGGGACTCTGATACCTTCTTCTGACCTCTGCCTTCACTTATACATGCTTGTTCACACAGAGACATAATTTTAAAAAGCAGCAACAACAAAGTCAAACAAGCTAAAGAATGTAAGCGGCCCTGTTGCATATCTGAATTCCTTTCATGGGGCCATCATCTACTTTAGATCTATATACTGTTAGGTTACACATCCTCTAACCAAAAACCAAGCCTTACCACCTGCAATTAACCCCCAACCCCGCCAACTACAGAGAACTGCCATACCTTGGCATCCCTCCAAAGAGTTGAGTCTTCTCCCTCCCTCACGCTGCTGAGGGCAAACCCAGCTAGCCCTGACGCCCAGACCTGAGACACCCTTGACTTGTATGTACAGCCTTCATACATTATGACTCCTGGCATAAAGCCAGGTCACATGGTACAGAACTAACTCCCACACCTGAAAACCTGTAAGTACAAGGAATTCCCTTAGTCCTACGGAAGTGAAAGTTTGTCTCTTCCTTCCAGGTTCTTCGGGCAGTTATCGGAGGGCACTGTGAGCCTCTCAGTCCACGAACTGACGGGAGTTGGCGGCCATCTTCTTTCAGGATTCCCATCATGCCATATACGGCAGCTGTCTCTCCTAACGCCCTCCCACTCATCATGGCTACCTGTGGCTATAATCCCGTGACTCCCTTAATCAAGCTTCTCGGAAGAGTACTTTGCCTCACCTTCCTGTCTATGAACCCCCAGATTTCCTCATATTTTTAACATGCTAGCATCATGGCATCCTGGGGTGTAACCTCACAGTGCACCTCATCTTCCCCTAGCAGCTTCATGATTTCAAAGAGCAAGGTGTGGTTTCTATTAAGTCTTTACCCTCCCTGACAGGAATTTCTCCCTCCTCTGCTTCATCATGCCCAAAGCCACCCCCAGGTGGTACATGTGCCAAAGTGGAGGTTGGGGCACCCCTATAGCACTGTCCTGTGGTACACCAAAGTCATCTACTGTAAGTGGAAACAGAAATGGCAACATCTCAGGTGAGGGAGGCAAGGCTCTGCTCCAGAGGAGGGAGGATGCTCAGAAGAATAGGAAGTCCAGCTGCCCTCGGGGTGACAGCATCATGACAGTTACAGAGAAAATTCCTCTGAATTGGACATTCCATTCTGGAAGGTAACTCATTAAGACCCAAAAATTCCTAAAGGGAGGCTTGCTAAGAATAGAGAAATAAAAAACTCAAGAGTCTTGGGGAGTTCCAGAAACTTAGAAGGTCCCACTCTTCCTAAGATTCTATAAGCAGGGAGGATTGCTGAGAAGGCTTAGACCAGCCTAACTGACTGCCTAGAGAAGATTCTCCAACCCATCAAGCCGCCTGTTGGTCATGTAGAGCTCTCCAGGATCCTGGGTCTTACAAGTTGGCACTCATGCTTGGGTGGGATTTAGAGGATGATTATTGCCTTTGTGTTCCTGAAAGCATCCCCCTCACCCATACTCCTGTAAGTAACCTCAGCAAACTCACTGGTTCAAGTTGAACTTTGCCGCTATCCTTACTTTGGTCTGTGTTACTTCCTGATCTGTGGTGGGCACAGAAATGCTGTCCTCTCAGGATAGTGAGGGCCACAGGACAGATCAGCTTGCTGACAGAAACATTATCAGTTCCTTTTCCCCAAACACCCCACTTCCTCTTTAGACAATGTAGCTAAGCCCTTGATGAAAATATGCCTGAGATTAAGGTGCTGACAGTTTTCTCTCGAGACTTCTTAGCTCACAAATGGCCGCCTTTCCCTCTGTGACTTCACAATGCTCTCTTCCTATAGGGACACCTATAGTCATGATGGATTTGGACCCACCCTGTTGGCCCCTCTTCAAACTGGATTATACAAAAAGACTATCTACAAACATGGTCACCTTCTGAGCCACTGGGAGTTACAAACTCACATTTGAAGGGAACATAGTCAACATAACCCATAATCCCATAACCTCCCACTCTACCCCAGAAGTTGGTGACATGGTGCTTTCTCTTGGCCTCCAGGGTTTGCCAGGCCCCAAAGACTACTGTGGGCTGAGATTTTGGCAGGTGGAATCCTGGGTATCTATATGAGTGACAACTAAGAAGCAGTTCTGCCCAAATGCGCCACCGTTTCTTGAGACTGGGCTGATGACCAGGTAACTGGGCACTACCAAAGATGCCAGTGCACACTGAGACGGGTGGATGCTGAGTACTTTGCATGGCCCCAGCCAGTTAAGCACCACTGGCAATCTCAGAGCCTCTCCTCTGAGGGCCATCTCTATAACTCCCTGTTCGAGCCTCACCTCTGGCAGATACTCAGCAAACACTTCACACTACTTTCTAGCCTGGTACACAACATTCTTTATGGGATAGTCTTGACACTTCACCTTCTAAACAAATTAAAATGTCCTTAATTCCCTAAGACCCAAACCCACAGGTCTGCCTATAGCAGTTGCCCCCTGAACACACAATGGACTGGGTTCTGGGAGAATCAGCTTGATTAGAATCCCTTAAAAGATGGGGCTTCTGAGCACAGATGTGGGGGATTATTTTGATTAAATTCACTGAGGGGAAAGACACACCCACTATGGGAGCCACCCTTCCCTAGGTAGGGAATCTTGAACTAAGAGTGGGGAAAGTGCGCCAAGCACAGAGTGTGTGCATTTGTCCCTCTCTGTTTCAGGTTGCAAATGGGATGTGACCAGCTGCTGTGACCTCCCCCTGCCAGGATGGACAGCATAATAAGAAAAAAAATCTTTCTCCCATAAGTTGTTTTTGCCAGAGAACTTATCCCAGCATCAGGAAAGAAGGCTAAGCAGTGGCCAAGAAGATTCTAAGCCCATGAGTTATGTTCAATTTACATAGCAGAATGGAGGCAAATCCTGAAGAAGAGTGTGACGGCAGAGATATACAACTGCAGCCACGCGTCATGGCCACTCTTCCGTCTCCACACACACCAGCTCAAGGGACAGCCTTTCCCAGAACCCCGTCTGTAGTGATGAAGAGTTCACACCTTTCCGCAAGAAGCTATTTTTTCTGGTTATTTCTGCTTAATTAGCATTGGGAAAAAATGACACAATATCTGTTCAGGGAACAAAAGACATTGGCGTGAGGACAGTGGGGAGAGAGGGAGAGAAAGAGGGCTGGACAGTGGCCGCATCAGAAGTAGCTGTGTGCTGCGGGGTCAGCAGAGGCCCTGGGAACAGGCGCTGCCCTCCCTGGATTCCTCTGCTCGTGGACACTCGTGGGCTCAGGCAGGGTCTTCGTAGCAGCTCACAGAATAACAGGAATTGCCTTGGTTGGGGAGGGAGGTGTTGAATCTCCCCCAAGAAGCTTCTTCTCTGCCTCTTCCTTATCCTGAAAATAAAATAGGAGGAAGAAGTCAATGGATGGAAGAAAAGCATGAAGATGGAGCACGAAGTTTAGCTTCACTGATGGATGGAGAAAAACATGAGGACAAGGTTAGCATCTGCACTGGAAAGCAGCAGAGGGAAGGAGGGGCAGGAAACAACAGAGGAAAGTACAAGCAGCAAGAAGGATGAGGAGGCAGAGTAGGGGGAGCAAGACATGAACCTGGAGAGAGTGGGAAACGAGGGCAAAGCAAGGCATGGAGAGGCAGAAGTCAGACAGGACATGAGGGGAGTCACAGTCCCCAGATAGTGAAGGATGAGTGAGAACCAGGGACGTCCGAGATGGACGCTCATCTCTGTTTTCAATGCCCAGACTCCTGCTGTCCAGCAATTCTCTTCCTGAGTACTCACCAGGGCCTGGGAGCTCCGGCCACACATACTTCGGAGACTCAGTCCCAGGGAAGCCAAAGACACAAGGATCTTCAGGACACAGACAACTGTGAGCATGGTGCACAGAGCTAGGAACACGTTCTAGAGGCAGAAGAGGAACAGACCCAGTCAAGAGTCGGCACCTCTGAGTCACATGGCGACCTTCCCAAAGCCACACTCAGTCCGGACCCTGTCTAGCCACCAAGCAGGTGGTGTCTGCTGGTGATGATATAGCCACCTTCTCACCCACTTGCTTGGCTGGTGAAATGGCACTCGTGCCAGAGATGGCCCTTCACTGGCTCTGTAGCTTCTATTCCTGCCTCTTGACAACCTTACCATAACTCCCTACCTGGGACCTGATTGCTATACTGAGAAGCCAGAGGCACATGGAGAAGCTGCTATAGGTTCTCAGCCCTGAAAGCCCAGTGAGCTCCCAGCCAAGAGCCACACCATCTGCCAGCTGAATACACTCGTGCCTAGGTGTGAATGCCCAGCCCCAGTGAGGCCTTGGATGACCACACCCACTATCTCTGCCTGCAGCTACATAGGAAAACCCAAGGGTGAACAGTCTGTCCAAACCCAGCCAAACCCAGAGAAGTGTGAGAATTATGAGTAAGGGGTGTTAAAGCCACTGTATTTGGGGGTGACTTCTTATACATCTGTAAGTAGATAGCCAGAATGACCATTCATTAGAGAAGTCAGAGTGGGTGATCTACTGTCTGTTCCTCCACCACCTCCAATTCGGGGAATCTTTATGTACAAAGGTCTGAAAACACCTTCAGCTTGAATGGCAGCTTCCTAACCAAAGGACTAGGGTGAGGGCCAAGCTCACAGAGCCTTCATCCCTGCCCTCCAGGGCTCCAAACCCTAAGAGCAAGGGTGGTGCTGGGTCCCAGGAAAGCCTTCCGTTCCTCCGTTCTCACCATCATCATGCCCAGGTACTCTCGGCACCTCTCCGTCTCCCAGCTTGTGTTGTCAGTGAATCGCACTAGCCCATCCCCACTGTCCGTGCTAGTCTGTAAGGAGTCACATGTGGAACTGATCTTGTACCGGTAGGCACCGCTCGTTTGCCAGATTAAGCTGTTCACACCCAGAACCGTCGCAACCACAGCTGTAGCCGTGCAAGCCAGGATAAGCAGGCAGGATATGTGGCCCTGGAGGAGAGAAGGTCAGATGGAGATTCCGCTGCCACTGGCAGAGTCATGAACTGCAGCCTCAGACCTACCCATCTTCCCCTGCCGCTATGACAGGAAGCCCCTCCCAACCCTCCAGGAAAGACACGTTTTATTGGTAACTAAGGACAAATGGTAGAAGAGTGCTGAAATGTTCGCCATTTACTATGGAGGGTGAAGATGGACAGGGTTGATAAAGAAGAAACCCAAGACTCACAGTTAGTTTTCCATGTCGCTTCTCATTGACAATGGTGCCAGTTCCGGCAACAACTGCCTGGAGAAGACACCAACATAAATTAAAAATAAAAAATAAATAAATAAAATGGCCTCTAGTTTACTCCTGGCTAGGTTTTCCAGTGCCCTTCCATTTACAGCTCCCAGGACAGCCTAATTGAAGCAGGGTTCAAATGACAAGCAAGCCAAAAAGAAAAAAAAAATCAGGACATGGGCAGACACTTATCACCAATGTCCTGCCCTTAAAACCAAACCAAAACACTAGGCATCAGAAGGTTTCCTCCAGTCCTGAGGCAACTGTTTCCTATTTGTCTCCACTGAACTCCTGATAATTCCTTACTTACCACAGACCCTGACCAGAAGGCATAGCCAAAGGTATGCAGCTCAGTCCAGGGCCCAAAGTAGATACACACTCCGAGAACACAGCTCACAAGCCCCAGCAATATCTGGGTCACCTGCAAGACAGGAGGGAAAAAGTCAACTCCCTTCACACCCCAACGATAACTGTACAGCTCCAAGCCAGGGGTGGGCTAAACCATTTCCTCTGCTTTGGCCTCCCTGCAGCCCTGATTCTGGAAGGTTCTATACTAACATTCATTGAGGCATAATGGTCAGCTTTTCTCTGCATCCCCTCAGGCTCTCCCATTACCTGTTCCTAACACCAGCACTTTATGCCAGTTCTTCCCATTTCATCCCGTTCTCCCTCAAGACTATCATCCTGACAAATCCTGCTCCCGATCTCCACTCAGCATCTCACTCCACCCTAACGCCTCATATACAAGCACGACATAGACCACTCTGGTACACACAGGATGTAGGGCTGAAAGGCTGGAGAGGAGCATAAAGAGAAAGACGTGAGCCCTCGGATGCGATCCCCAGGGCCAGATAAGACTGGATGGGGCAATTCATGCCTATAAGCTCAGCATTTAGAAAGTAGAGGCAGAAAATTCAGAAGTTCAAGACCATCCTTGACTACATAACTAATTTGAGGTCATCCTAGACTACATGAGACCCTGTCTCAGAAAAATAAAAAGATATACCAGTGAGACCATGCTTTGGAAAGAGGTTTGGTCCAGCCAGAATGGGTGAGTGACATGCCTACCAGCAGAACTGCATTCCCACCTGGATTCGGACCCCCTCAACCAGTCCCCAAGTTCAGCCTTCCCAGATAGTCCCTAACCCCACAACTGGGCCTTCCTCACAACCCCAGAAGACTTCCACCAATCAGACCCAGGCCACACCAGCCAGAACAGGTGAGTGACCTGCCTAGCAACAGAACTGTGCCCCTCCTTGGACTCAGTCTGTAAAGACCCTGCCCCAGGCCAATGCCATCCCAACTCATTCCTGGCCCTGCTGCTGCTGAGTCCCCAAACCCAATCCCAGTGGGTTTCTGTCACTGAGGCACAGACTACACTAGCTAATGAAGGCCCAAGTCACACAAGCCAGAATGAAACTTCAGGATACTCCATATACCCAGACAGAGTCCACACTAGTTGAAAGAATAGATGCCTTAGGCCCACATACCATCTACCCTACCCAAAAGAACAGCCCTAGCAGCCCTATCAGAAGTCAGGCAGGTACCCTAGGTACCCCAGAAGAAAACACAGGCTCTACTCAAGACCAGGCCAGATCTAGAGATCCAAGAATTCTATAGGAGGCCAGATCGGAGTAAGGGACTCAAGGCCCCAAAATCCCAGCAAAAAACATCCTACTGGACCTGAAGACTCATCAGTCACCAGAACCCTTGGCCAATTAGGACAGAAGATAAGAAACAAGGAACAAAACACCCATCCAACAAAGACAAGCACAGGAATCAATACCTAAACCTATAATCACCCCAAATCCAGATGCCTAAATGCCAGTGTAAGAACACAATCAATAACAGCAAAGGCAATATGGCATCACCAAAGCCCACCTATACTATGACAGTAAGACCTAAACAATCCAACACAGATGAAGCACAAGAAAATGACCTTAAACATAACTTTATGAGTATAATAGAGGTTCTTTAAAGAGGAACTGAGAAAATCCCTCAAAGAAGTGGTAGGAAAGATAACCAAGGAAATGAATAAATATCTTAAAGAATGCCAAGAAAACCAAGAAAAAACAAACAGTTGACAGAAAAAAAATAAAACTCTTCAAAACCTGAAAAATGGAAATAGAATTTAAAAAAAAACACAAACTGGAAAACTTGGGTAAGCAAACAGGAACTATAGATGCAAGCATTACCAACAGAATACAAGAGATAGAAGAGAGACCCTCAGGCATTGAAGGTGCCATAGAGAAAATAAATTCATTGGTCAAATGTTAAATCTAAAACTTCCTAACACAAAGTACCCAGGACAGCCGGGCGGTGGTGGCACACACCTTTAATCCCAGCACTCGGAAGGCAGAGGCAGGCAAATCTCTGTGAATTCGAGGCCAGCCTGGTCTACAAGAGCTAGTTCCAGGACAGGCTCTAAAGTTACACAAAGAAGCCCTGTCTCAAAAAAACAAACCAACAAACAAAAAACAAACAAAAAAAGCACCAGGAAACCTGGAACACCATGAAAGACCAAAGCAAGAACAATAGGAACAGAAGGGGAGAAATCGCTGCTCAAAGACCCAGAAAATATATTCAACAAAATCATAGAAGAAAATTTTCCCAATCTAAAGAAGGACATATCTATAAAAATATAAGAAGCTTACAGAACGCCACATAGAATGGACCCGAAAAAATAGTCCCCTCACCATGTAATAATCAAAACACTAAATATACAGAATAAAGAAAGACTAAGGAAAAAGGCCAAGTAACAAATAATGGTAGACCAATCATGGAGAAAGACCAATCTTTCTCCATGAAGACTCCCAATGCCACACCTGAACAGATCCTTTACAGACTCTGCCATAGAATATTATTTTAAGATGTGTTACCCTTGTTTATGTTGTGAAATATTTGCTTAATGATGCAAAAATATGTTGCATTACTTTATGTTGCATTTGTTTAACTCTGTGAAGCTGTGTTACTTTGCCTGTCTAAAACATCTGATTGGTCTAAGAAAGAATTGAATGGCCAATAGTAAGACAGGAGAAAGGATAGGTGGGGCTGGCAGGCAGAGAGAATAAATAGAAGGAGAGAAAGAAAGAAAGAAAGAAAGAAAGAAAGAAAGAAAGAAAGAAAGAAAGAAAGAAAGAAAGAAAGAGAACAAGGAGAAAGAAAAAATTGGGGAACCAGCCACCCAGCCAGCCATGGAGTAAGAATGAAAGGAAGATTACAGAAGTAAGAAATGGAAAAGTCTCAGAGGTAAAAGGTAGAGGTGGTAATATAAGATCAAGAAAAGCTGGCAAGAAATGAGCCAAGTTCGTTTTTAAGAAAGAATAAAACTCTACATGTGATTTTTTGGGGGGAGCTAGCGATGCCCCCCCAAAAAGCCAAAAGTCGAAAACAACCAACTGCAAGACTCTCAGAGACCATGGATGCCAACCCAAACTACTATACCCAGCAAAATTTTCAATCACCAAAGACGGAGAAAACAAGGTATTTCATGAAAATGTCAAATTTAATCAACATCTGTCCACAAACCCAGCTCTACAGAAGATATTAGAAGGAAAACTCCAACCCAAGGAATTTAGCTACTCCCACAAAAACACAGGCAATAGATAATCCCACACAGAAGGGAAACATATGCACACACACACATACAAGCATGAAAGCAAGCACATACCACCAACACCACCAGTAGCAACAAACAACAGGAATTAACAATCACTGGTAATTAGTATGTTTCAATATCAATGGGCTCAATTCACCAATAACAAATGCAGGCTAACAGAAAGGATACAAAAACAGAATCCATCCTTCTGCTACATACAAGAAAAACACCTCAACATCAAAGGCAGACATTACTTCAGAGTAAAGGATTATAAAAAGATTTTACAATCAAATGGACCAAAGAAGCAAACTAGTGTAGTAATTCAAATAGCTAACAAACTATACTTGAAATTAGAATTAATAAAAAAGATGGAGAAGGACATTATATATTTATCAAAGGAAAAAAATTCACCAAGATGATATCTCAAATCTAAACATCTATGCCCCAAATACAAGGGCACCCACATTTGTAAAAGAAACATTACTAAAGCTAAAATCACATATTGAATCCCACACGTTAATTATGGAAGATTTTAACTCCATAGTCTCACCAATGGATGAGTCATTCCAACAGAAACTAAACAGAAAATGTTGGAACTCACAGATGTTATGACTCAAATGGGCCTAGCAGATATCTACAGTACATTTCACCCAAATGCCAAAGAATATACCTTCTTCTCAGCGCCTCATGGAACCTACTCCAAAACTGACCACATCCTCAGCCACAAAGCAAGTCTTAGCAAATACAAGACAGTTGGACTAGCCCCCTGTATCCTATTAGATCAAAGATGGAGTTGAATAACAACACAAACCACAGAAAGCCTACAAACTCATGGAAGCAAACAACTCTCATCCGAATTATCACTGGGTTAAGGAAAAAATAAAAAAAGAAATTAAAGACTTCCTAGAATTCAATGAAGATGAATCCACACCATACCCAAACTTATGGAACTAAGTTTGGCACTAAGAGGAAATGTTTTTACACTAAGTGACTTCTTGAAGAATTTGGAGAAATCTCACACTAGTGACTCACACAGCACACCTAAAAGATCTAGAACAAAAAGAAGCAAACTCACTCAGGAGGAGTAAATTGTCGGATATAATCAAACTGAGGGTAGAAATCAATAAAATAGAAACAAAGAGAAAAATACAATGACTCAATGAAACAAAGATTTGGTTCTTTGAGAAAATCAATAAGGTAGACAAACTCTTACCCAAACTAAAAGATGCAGGGAGAATATACAAATTAACATAATCTAAATAAAAGGGGAATATAATAAACACTGAAGAAATTCAGACAATCTTTAGATCATACTTTAAAAACCTGTACTCTACAAAATTGGAAAATCTAAAAGAAATGAACAAATTTCTTTATAGATACCACATACCAAAATTAAACCAAGATCAGATAAACAATTTAAACAGATCAATAACCCATAAGCAAATTGAAGCAGTAGTTAAAAGTCCCCCAACCAAGAAAAGTACAGGGCCAGATGGTTTTAGTGCAGAATTCTACCATAATTTCAAAGAAAAGTTAATGCCAATACTCCTCAAATTATTCCATAAAATAAAAACAAAAGGAACATTGTCAAATTCTTTTTATGAGACCACAGTTACCCTGATACTCAAACCACACAAAGACCCAACAAAGAAAGAGAATTACAGACCACTTTTCCCCATGAACATGCAAAAAATATTCAATAAAATACTGGCAAACTAGATCCAAGAACACAACAAAAAGATTAACCACCATGATCAAGTGAACTTCATCCCAGAGATGCATTCAACATACAAAAATCTGTCAATGTAATCCAAAATACAAAC